ATGAACTCGTATAAGATGAGTCGTTTTTTAAGCTATTTAAAGCACTTGTAGTCGTGTTTTATCACATATAAAACACTCCGCTACGCGTCGTGTTTTATATGTGATAAAACACTCCTACGCGTGCTTTAAATAGTATATAGAGTTGGTATAGTGCATATACTGTCATTCAGTTTTTGATCATTTGTGCATAATTTACATAAATCATATACCATACCTCCCCTAAATGAGTCGCTTTTCTCTTAAGAAAGTAAGAACCTACATTTAAGAACCTGTCTAGCCTAATTTCCTTGTAAGCACCATTTACGTAAGAACCTGTTTAGGCTAACTTGGAAAATCTACGTTCTTATATGCGGGGTTTTACTGTATTACAGTAAACCGCAATCTTGGAGAATCAATATTTTCGACACTGCCATGCATTGGCTTATCCAAAATATCAGTTCTAAGAGGTGAAACATATTAGTTTCGAAAGTGTTTGACTTGAACGTTGCATATTTGTGTAATTGTTCTTTTGCAAAATCTTCGCTAATTCTTTGCAAAATCTTCGCAAAATCTTTGCAAAATATTCGCCAAAATCTTCACTAACTTTTCAGTTAGACATGTGTTTCACAGAAATATATCTGCCTATAATAATCAAACAATATACACATGGTTATTGGTTGATACTTTAAACAGAATCACTTTCGGAAACAGCTAGAAATGCACTTTCCGGACTTGTAATTTTCCAATTTTTACTTCATCTCATTATCTTTTTCTCAGTGACAAACAAGGCTCCTTACTCATTCGTATTTAATTAGCACTATTGCATGTATCATATATATTTGTTTGCTGTCTCAGTATATCTACACGTGGCTAATCTTAATTAGTTTGTATATAACCTTGGTATATTCTAATTTCTATCAATAATTTATATGAATTATATATATACCATTACACCAAATTACCCATACATATGTTAAATATTACGAAACCACTTTCAAAGGATTGTCAATATATAGCTTACAATTGGAATAATCTAAAATTTTAATAGGACTTTAGCAATGGCGTTGTTGATGCTATTCTTCTATGTGCGGACATTTTTGTACATTTGTTGCATAATTGATCAGTGTGGTGGATCTTGTCCTGGGTTAATTTGTCCTTGAGTAAACGATGTTTCAGCGGTCTCTTCCGGTAATTGCTGAACGCCATCTATCCGACTAACACTATAACGAAAACAGGAAATAACAATTAGGTTTGCAGCGCAATTATCCAGTACACGTAAAAACGCACAAGTTGTTACAGGTCTGCAAACAGGTTGTTACAAATCTGTTCACAAGTTGTCGACAAGTTGTGTTCGCACTGCTTGTTCCCAGTTGTTGTTGCAAGTTTGGAACAAACTGTTAACAACTTGTAACAAGCTTGATGCCATCCATTATCAGACTTGTTACAAGGTTGTTCTAACAAGTCTGATACAGTCATGATATAACAAGAATGTTACAAGGTTGTTCTAACAAGTCTGATACAGTCATGATATAACAAGAATGTTACAAGGTTGTTCTAACAAGTCTGATACAGTCATGATATAACAAAAATGTTACAAGGTTGTTCTAACAAGTCTGATACAGTCATGATATAACAAGAATGTTACAAGGTTAACGACACAAGGTTGTAACAATATTAGGGACCTTAAGGTCTATGACGTATGACGGCAACGCAACGACGACAGCCAAAACAAACTTCTTCAAATAAGAATCAGGAATATCATTGTGTGAATAGCCGTCATCGTCGCGTTGTCGTCCAGTTTGCTTAAGGTCCCTATTGTTATATCATGACTGTATCCGACTTTGTTGGAACAACCTTGCAACAAGCCTGATAATATCAACAAGGTTGTTAATATACAGGTTGTTAAGAAGTTGTTCCATACTTTACAATTCTGCCAACAATTGTTATCGTCCTGCAATTCAAGAACTTGTAAAAAGTTGTGAGTGACAACCTTGTATAGCAACTTGACAAACTAACAACATGGTTACAACTTGTTGACAAGCTCGCTACAAGCTTGTTCCGAACACACTTTATTGACAAGTTGTAAGATTTTTACGTGTGCACGTGCCTGCTACAACACATGTGTTATATGCTGAGTACAACTGGGTTATAAAAAGTACGGTACTTACACTTGACCGTAGGTTAGGTTGTCTAAACGCCCGAAAGGTGGCTGCTCATGTTTTGAACTGTAAGGAAAGAGACAATGGTTAAGGTAAAATATCTTCATTTTCATATTATATATTTATTGAATTATAATCAAGAATACATACTTTAATGGGAGAGTATCTGAGTTTGGAGGTAGGTGTCGCTGGTGGCCAATGGTAGTCAGCGATCTAGCCATGAAAGCCAAATGACCGCAATGGCAAACATGAGGCAAAACGCTGGCAAACATTTGTGCCAAAATTGGCAAACAGCAATGGCAAAACAGCAAAAATCGTAATAAGGCTACCACCACCACCATCATCACCAGCAAAATCACCATCACCATCATTATCACCATCATCGCCAGCATCATCACAACCATCACCACCAATAGTACCACCAGCACCATGAACATTACCACAATCTTACCTTCGACGTTTGCGGACAAAAATACACGCCGCAATTATGCCCACGATCACCAGTGCACCAAATACACATACAGGTATAATAATCTTCAAAATAACTTTACTATCTTCCGTCTTCTTAACTTTAGCTGGAAAGACGACTTTCAAACAGGTTACATTACCCAACATGGCGCCACCAGACAAGTTCAAAAACTTCACATTCAAAATAGTCTCGCTCATTTCAGAAGGCATGGTGCCGAATTTCAAACGAATAGATGAATTCCATTGGCCCTCGATAAACATCAGCTCACCACTCGTTGGGGAAACGGTAAATGGGATCTTCATGTTTGATTGGCCGCTGGCTATCCACGTGACATTAATGGTTCCAGTAGAGCCCTTGCGTCTAACTACGTCAAAAATCATTTCGTTGCCATATCGTTCTGGATGGTAAATGATGCTGTTGTCTTCTTCAAATATGGCGTGTGGAGGTCCCCGGGTCGACGAACCTGAAACAATTCGACCGATTAAGCTTGTCAACATATTCTCTAGGACTATATTATAAAGTGTAGGTAGTATTCTAAAACGAGCTGTCGTGGTTCGTATCTGAACTATCTGAAAAAGATATCTCAAATGTGGTGGTCCAGTGCAGGTAGTATTATAATTCTACAAGAGGCTGTCGTGGTTTGTGTCTGAACTACCTGAAAATATATCTCAAATGTGGTGGTACAGTGTAGGTAGAATTATACAATGATCTGTTTTGTTTTGTATCTGAACTACCAGAAAATTTACATCAACTCTACAATTTACATTAACATACCATTAGTTTCTTTGTTGAATTCTATGATTCCATTTTCTGCCTTAAACGTCCAGAACAATGCAAACTGTGTCAAGTGACATACTTTCACTTTGAGAAGTTTTGCAGCGTGATCAACAAACGTCCATGGCTCTGGGCAAGTTTTGGCCGCGTCAAACCTGTGAAATTGTCAACGAAACTTGAATTTCGGAATACTTTATATCAAGGGTTTGAGGCTATAAAGAATCCACCTTGTCGACAGCTTGTGAACAGATTTATAACAACTTGTTTGCAGACCTGTAACAACTTACAACAACCCCTAGTCCAGCACCACCCTACAAAAATCTGCTTGACCATACATTTTCGAATGGCTATTAACGGAACTTCTATTGTTAGCGCGTGTCGATTTCTTGAAACGTTTTGATATATTTGTGAGCTCACGAGAAAATACTCAAAATGCTTTAGTTAAATATCATGGTTACATATATGTAAATAAGTCGAGGTTGTTACACAGCCATATTTTCAAATATACCGTGCTTTCATTAGAAAATTTACTGTACTGTGCTACAGCAACTGTCCAGTCACGCATACGTGATAAAAAGCCGATATAAACTTTATAAACAAATGATAGTGTAAAATGTATAACAGAACGGCGAACATGCAGATTCGGCCATCTTAAATAATGGTAATGTTGGGATAGTAGCGTTGCAGACTGCAGAGGAGAATTGGCAGTAAGGCTCCCTCATGCACCACCCCATAGAAAACGTGCAACCCTACATTAACATTAGTAACATTCACTTACCAAGTTTGATTCTTAGTATCCCAGAGTAAAAGCACAGGATCAATATCTTCGTTTGTGACTTCACCACTGACCGTTTTCTTGTTTCCTTTCAACATTTGATCCACATCATAAAACAACGAGATAGTTATTGGCTTCTTGAAATGATATTTGTCTTGCAACGTGTTGTTTTCTGGTTCGTAAGCTTTGATTTGAAAACTATAGTTGCCCAGTTTGAAATGCTGAGAAAACAACAAACGTAAATGTCAAATGACGTACATGCATGTTAAAGAAAAGTAATAAAATGAGAAATATAGGACTTGCCAACTGTATACAGTAAAACCTCGCATATAAGAAGCTAGACTTTTCCAAGTTAGCCTAATGAGGTTCTTATGTACATGGTGCTTACCCATAGAAATAATAGATATCTATTATTTCTATGTGCTTACCACGAAATTGGGCTACACAGGTTCTTAAATAGGTTCTTATCTTCTTAAGAAAAATTTCTTAAGAAGAAAGCGACTCATTTTCGGTAGGTGTGGTATATATAATTTATATAAATTATGCACAAATGATCTAACAGTCCATGATGCTGGAAAATATTGCTTAAAGTCACTATAGTAATGAGATTGTCATGTAGTATTTTCACTAAAGATATACAGTTATTTGTTGTTGTGTTCATATGGACATGTTATTTATCTGAATGACATTTCCAAGGTTCTGGATCATTTTCATTACTTTGTGAAGAACTTATTTTCTTTGATTTATAAATTTTTAGTTTTGACTCAATTTGATAAAATAAGAACCTACTTTGAAATTCTAAACAGCCTAAACATGCAGGTTCTTATTTTAAGAGGTTTTTAGCCGATCAGGTTCTTAAATTCTAGGTTCTTATATGCGGGGTTTACTGTATTGCAAGAATGCTATCCCGAGCAGAGTCGAAATTACATCCCCCTACCTTGGGTGGTTTAACAACCTCAGGATCGACGACTGTCGTATTATCATCAGTGCCATTTTTTATCTCTTTCTCACCAAGGCTATAAACCTGAAACTTCACCTCATCTTCAACAGCTCCAGCAGGAACATCCAAAGTCCCGAACGTACTCCCAATACCAGAATCCTTTTCTTTCGTTTCATTCGAGTTCACATTCACTGTATCAAAGAAGAACGATCCCGAGTCGTTTTTCGCGAAGACAAACTCCGTTTTTCCAACGACAATGCCATTCGATGTCATTGGTTCCGATTCAAGCCCCGCGCCATTGATGGCCTTAACGGTGACGTAATATTTACGACCTTTCACCAAAACTCCGTGTTTGAACTTCGCGTAGTACGCTTTGGCGTTGCCGATTTCTTGGAATTCCCAGAGGTTGTCAAGGCCTGGGGACGAGCCCCAGCCAATCTCATACGAGACTATTCCGCTCTCGGGATCATCTGCCGCCCAGTTGCCGAATATGATGTTTGTGAATACCTAAAAGATGAATTTTAAACCTGTAACATCACACATACAAACGAATTAAAAATCACAGTTTGCTAACTGTTCTCCGTAGAGGTCCGGTAAGGGTATTTCTTATTGGTCCAGTGTTACTACCGGCGGAAACCTAAACTAAACTACTTTATTTATGATGGATAGTTCTTTCAGTTCTAAACTGTTCTTCCTAGAGGTCCAGTAAAGATCATCTCTTATTGATCCAGTGTTACTACAGGAGGAAACCTAAACTAAGTTTATTTATACTGGATAGCTCTATCAGTTCTGAACTGTTCTCCCTAGCTAGAGGTCCAGTAAGGATCATCTCTTATTGATCCAGTGTTACTAAAAAAGGAAACCTAAACTAAGTTTATTTATACTGGATAGCTCTATCAGTTCTGAACTGTTCTCCCTAGCTAGAGGTCCAGTAAGGATCATCTCTTATTGATCCAGTGTTACTAAAAAAGGAAACCTAAACTAAGTTTATTTATACTGGATAGCTCTATCAGTTCTGAACTGTTCTCCCTAGCTAGAGGTCCAGTAAGGATCATCTCTTATTGATCCAGTGTTACTAAAAAAGGAAACCTAAACTAAGTTTATTTATACTGGATAGCTCTATCAGTTCTGAACTGTTCTCCCTAGCTAGAGGTCCAGTAAGGATCATCTCTTATTGATCCAGTGTTACTAAAAAAGGAAACCTAAACTAAGTTTATTTATACTGGATAGCTCTATCAGTTCTGAACTGTTCTCCCTAGCTAGAGGTCCAGTAAGGATCATCTCTTATTGATCCAGTGTTACTAAAAAAGGAAACCTAAACTAAGTTTATTTATACTGGATAGCTCTATCAGTTCTGAACTGTTCTCCCTAGCTAGAGGTCCAGTAAGGATCATCTCTTATTGATCCAGTGTTACTAAAAAAGGAAACCTAAACTAAGTTTATTTATACTGGATAGCTC